CATTAACCGCAGAAAGGGGCTGCATAAACCCTTACGGTGGGAGTGCGTGCCACGCATCGGACACGACCTTACATAGGGGCTTACGTACCTCACAAGGGCACGACCATATCATAACTTAAGGAGATTGCCACACAAGGGCACCGTACCGTAACTCGACAGGGACAACCAAACTGATGGCCGTAACAGTTCACATCGGTAGGCTACATGGTTCACATGCACACATTGATCATACCGACCCAACAAACATAACACGTACGGCATAGATTTTTTTTTTTTGAATAACAAACCCATCTAGTTACCGAAATGGTAGAACACACCAAGTAGTGGAATGTAGGTCGAGGTTTGACTCCTCAAACACCTACATTTAACAAGATAATCCTATAAATAGCTATTCGACATATGAACACACATATAGCAACATTCCCTTGATCCAACTCAGCTCATATAGGTCATATAAGAACGCGTTTTAAAAGTAAACTCTATTTCCGAACATACAACATGAGTTTTCAAAATTTTACCCGCGCAGTGATTTTAAAATCAACGTAACTTGCAGCACAGATGTCACGTCATCATGATTTCAGTTGAATTTGAACCCTATGACATGCTCTACAATTCTAATGAAAACATCAAAAACAAATAAGCTCATTTACAAGGAGATAATTCAGCAAACATTCATAATTGAGTTGCAGTTAGAAAACCAGATTTTAAACATACCGAGCTTCGATAATTGTCACATAACTCATGCTACAAACCTCTAAATGGCATGATTCAAAGACCAACAGACAGCTAAGAAGTAAAGCTACAAATTTCATGAAGACAAGAATGGTAAATAAGGGCATTTGATCAAAGATTATTCATTATACATTTGAAACATGGTTGCAGTCCGAGAACAAAATTATACATCCTACAGAGCCTCAGTAAAACGGGAATATCTCATGCTACAGACATGCTTTTCACTTGATTCAAAGCTAACAGGACGCTAACACATAAGACTACATATTTTATAAAGACCACTTTCACATTTGATCATATTCAGACATCCAACACAGTCCAAACATTTAATATAAACATGCTGTCGGGTTCAAAGAAAAACTGCTTGCACAATCTTTTTGTAAAAATCATAACTCACTCGATTTAAATCGGATTTTCAAAATTCTAAAGCACACTGAAAGCTAACAAGATAAGCTACAATTCATGTCAAGAACACATTTTCAGAAACAAGTTATAAAAGGCCAAAACAGAGTCAATAAAATCGAGATTAATCCATATAATGTTCAATTTGTATTATAACCTTTAAAAATTCGTATCTCGAGTTATACTAGGCAATTGACTTAATTATTGATCCTATGAACTAATATTTAACACAAAAAATAGCCATAATATTTGTACATTTCTAGGTTTTGCATATCATGGGTAAAAACATATGAAAACTCAACATATAAAACATGCAAGTAAGCCGAGAGCACTTAAACAGTTAGCATGTTTGGAACCACTTAAAAACTGAACCTATGGGGTATTGAAGCTCATAATTATAATACTCATCTCATATATAACAAGTACTAAAAAGAATGTAGCAAACCACCCTCTAAAACTTCAAGAAAAATAGCAAAAAAACTCGAGTATGCTCGATTGGTGCGGATGAATTGCTCTCGGCTTT